GGTCTACCAGGTTGCTTCTTCGTACACGGTGGCACAATATTAACATACACATCCGAACTTTTATCACGATATACAGTTGGTACTGGATAAATCAGTTCAGAATATGATATCTTGTACGTGCTAATATGATAGTAATAATCAATAAATTTGTTGATCTTCTGCCCACTCTTTCGTATTGCAAAAACTGCATGTGAATAAGAGAACCCATTTATTTGCCACTGACGAAATGAACACGTGTCATTCACAATATCAACAGTGACCGAAGGATATGACATCACTTCATACACTTGGTTATTCGAAACCCGCACAGTCCATGACCTCCCCTCATCAAATGCAGCTTGTAATCTCGAAGACATATTAGAACATAAATTCTCATTCCAATTCGAACATATCTTCATCCTTTGGCCAATTTGATCCATTATCTGTCCCCTAATTGTGTCAACCATGCTAGCAATAGGTAAATGCCAAGTTTTCAAAATCCATGCGTTAAACGATTCGGCAGCATTAGAACACATCTCACCATAACGCTTCCCTGAAAAATGAGCATTTGTCTAGTATTCATATGGAAGATTAGACAGGAACCTGTCCACATTAGAACCTCATTGACGACGGAACACTTCAATCTTCTCATTAAAAAGTGACTGTGTTGGTGTATAAGCACATTCACGTAACAATCTCACCATGATTCTCGAAATACATTGAAAAAATGATCACCACTTAATTTATCCCGCAAGTTACCTTTCAAATGCTGCAAACAAAATGCATGATGAGCATTTGAAAAAATTTCTACATTGCCTCTAACAGACCCAAGTTGCGATCAGATACAAATGTAACAACCCGAGACTTATCCAATATATTAGACAACTGTTCTAAAAATTAAAACCAGTTTGCCTCATTCTTCGAGTCAACCATAGCAAATGCCAAAGGAAACAAACCTGGAAAAATGCAGAACATACAATATTAGTGAAAATTAAAATAAAAAACAGTGTAACAATGAGATGGTAATTCGAAAATATTTTTGGGTGGTGAATAATAATAATCCACTATTTCATATCATTGTGTAACACCAACAGTGTAATAATGACACAAACAGAGTGTAACAACGAAAGTGTAGCAATACAACAAACAGAGTATAACAAAGACAGAATAACATAAAGATTACAATTTAACCACAAAATTTATCATTCAAAGAACCTTATTAAAATATACTTTGATTGTCATCTTTTCCTGTAGTCGATAGAAGATTACCTCTATACCTGCCTTTCAAAAATGTGTCATCCAAAAAAAGTAGTGGACGACAATAATTAAACCCATGAATACAACCCTTAAAGGAAACAAACAGCCTTTTGAAACAATTAGTATCATGATCATAATCTAACACAATATGGCTGTCCGAATTAGTACGATTTGCTGCATCGACATGCCAACGTAATTGTTGGTACGATAATGAATGACCTCCAAAAAGCATACCTTTCGCTTTCTTAACTCCTTCCCATGCTTTATCATAAGAAATGGTGAGTCCATAATCAGAAAAAAAAAAATCAGCAACCATTTTCGTTGGATGTGTTGTACTATGCCCACGAACACAATCAACAATAAGATTTACAACCAATTTAGAACTCATTCGTTTGTTATCTGTCGTTCGTAGATCCACACCACAAATGTGTTTGTTGTCCAATTTCCTAATATAAAAAAAATCAGTAGATCTCTTCACAGTTGCATATATATGTCACCCACACCCAGAAGAATACTTAAATGAACATTCAACAATAACCTTTTCTTTACAATTCCTTACATAATTAAATTCAAAACTAGACTCAATTGAGTATTTACAAAGTGCTTCCCGAAACTGTACTACACCACCTTCAAATTTCTGTCATACGTGCCGTATTTCATTACTCCACCCAGCTGTTCGAAGAACTTTCTCATTATGACCAATAAAATTGGGTAAGAAATCCACTTCACATTCAACATCACAAATATTCACATACTGCAATGAATCATCACCACCCACTGACCCACCCTCGGTATCTTCTACAAACACATTAACTTCAACGTAATTCCCTGGAAAACAACCTTTCAATTCAACCAAATTCTTCAAATCAGTATCAGTTCGTAACATGCACGAGGGGTGACCAGGAATAGAATATGACATATGTACTGACAAGTTAAACAACTTCTCCCACGTCTCGCAAATTTCGTGAATCAGCTCCGAAAAATTTGTATTACCACCTATTTTGAATACTTTAGTAGTATTACCATATGTACATAATAGAAACACCGTCTCCTCCATTGCCAACAAACTATTAAAAGAATATGTATAATAAAAAGTCAAATAAAAAACATATATCCAAATAAAAAAAAACTAAAAAAATTTATACATATTCATTTAGTATTCTAATAAATTAAATGTAACATACCTTGTAATTCCTGTTATGATATTGTCAGGCTACATGCTTCAATCTTCGACTGGAATAAAATCTCAAACACATACGTTTGAAGAACAATATTGGCTTGCAGATGGAAGTAGAAGAAGATAAAAATTAAGAGTGTATAGTGTTAAAATCGCCTCGCAGATGACAAAGAAAATCGGCTTCAGTTTTAAAGAAACTCTGCTTCATGCACAAATATACCAGTGTTTGTTTCAAGATTTCACTCTTAAAAATACCAGTGTAATGTCGATGAAGAACAATATCGACTTGTAGCTGGATGGAGAAGAAGCATAATTTGCCTCAAGGCTTGAAGAAGAAGCAAAATCGTCTTGCATGTAATGAAGGAATATATCCAGTTTTTCCAAGAAAAAAATAAGCGTATATTTTCCTCTTAAAAAAGGATAAATTTAAGTGTATTTAAAATTTGAAATTTTATTAGAAAGTGTTGTATTTCTCTCCCATAAAACTAAGACTTATTTAATACACAAATATAATTTAAAAACTAATGTCTTTTCAATAAAAAAAGACACATTCATCAATGGAGAATAAAAATATCACAATAAAAATAGATAAATTCAAATTATGTACTTGGATACAAATAAGTATCAAAATTAAATACTTAATAATCCTACATTTATTAGTATGAATTTTTTGTCAAATAAGTCTAATTTAATATACCGCTTTACAATTTACCCATAATGGAACAGGTAGAGTCATGGGCCTTGATTTTGCCCAACTAGTCCGATGGGCAGGCTTATTTATAACAACTAGGCTAGACGTAGATAACGTAGAGTGAAAATGACAAAATTTTTAAAAAAATCTTAAAGTGAGATTTTTTGATAGTATCATGTTATATACATAATATATTAACAAAAATATAATTATAATACATAATTATGTGATAATTCTTTTAATTTTTAAATATGTGATTAATTATCAAGTCTGAAAATGACAATCATAAATTAAGTATAATTCAAGTTTGATACATATCAAACCCAAAAAATAAAAAATTAATATTAAGTAAGTCTGCAAAAAAATCCCAAATAACTGTAAATATAATTTAGTTTTAAAATATTTACAAAATTAATCTTGAATCTGTAGATTAATCGAATTTGTAAATTATTAAACTTGAAACCCCTCCTAACACGTGAATTTGTGCAGCACCAAAGCGCAACCTCTTGTGAACGAATTGTGTGACATAGGGTTCAACAAATTGATCCTTGTCCATTATTAAGTCAAAATAACGATATTGAAAATATAATAATGTATTTGTGATTATTATTGTACCAACGTTATGTTTTTCATCTTATTAAAAAATACCATTTCCCATCTAAAAAAAGCGGCATAGTACACAATATTTCTATCACTGTCAAGTTTGATAAGGGTCAGATGTACATAATTTTATATATTTTTAGAATCTATGGTAAAAATAATTTTTGGATATAATAAAAAAATATCATTTATCGTTATCAATGGATAAGTCTATGATATGATAACAAAAAATTTGGTACCAAACTAAAATTGATCTAGAATCCTAATTGTTAGTTTAATTAACTTTTAATTATTTGATTTAAACAAATAATAAAATAAAAAATAAATGTAAAAGTAAAAGTTACCAATGATCACAACCAGACCAAATCAACAACGAAATATAATAAGAGCAATGCAATGTCGACTTATTTTACTAACTTAATCACTCATAGTTATTAGATTGTAGTAAATTTTAATATTTTTTGGATAATAATACTATTTTGACTTCATTTATTGATATAATTTGATGATTTAATCTATTATAACAATTGGATTGTTGTGGGTCCTAACAAATATTATAGGGTCTACTGTCAATGTAATAGTTGTGGATCCCAACAAATATTATGGTTCACTGTTAATTCAATAGTTATGAATAATTACATCAGTAAATTAAGTCTATGTGAAATTTTTTTTTGGAGAACTTGATACCAATCCAATAGTTGTGATAAATAAATTAGGTCAATAATTGATTTATCATTTTTGAATATTTTAATTTAAACGTGGATGGTATGTATTTGACCTGACTAATTAAAGAATTAGTGATTATGTGAGCAGATTGGATTCTAATTGATATTGTAATAATGCTAAAGCCTCGGAAATAGTCATTACCGTTATAAACCGTGAGACCAACGTATACAGTGAATATGACCGTTACACTCCACTCTAAATTCAAAATTTTCAGGTAACAAAGAGAGAAGAGCATAGAAACAAACACAGAGTTTACTCTGAATTCATCAAAAATGAGAGAAGCAGAACAACAGCAACAAGATACGAGAGAAGAGAAGATGCAACAGCTCAGATCCAAAGCCACAGAGCTTCTTCTTAGAGAAGATTGGAGTGAGTCCGTACAAGCCTACTCTCAATTCATCTCTCTCTGCCAAGACCAAATCTTAAAGGCCAACCAACACCCTGACCCAGATCACCTCCACAAGCTTCAAAAACCCCTATGCCTAGCCCTCTCAAATCGAGCCGAAGCACATCTTCGTCTGCGAGAATTCACCAAAGCACTGAAAGATTGCGATGCAGCATTGGAAATTGAGAGTACCCATTTCAAGAGTCTGCTTTGCAAAGGTAAGATCTTTATCAATCTCAATCGGTATGGTATGGCTTTGAACTGCTTCAAAACGGCTCTTCTTGATTCTCAGGCCAGTGTAAACTCTGAAACCCTTAATGGGTATTTAGAAAAGTGTAAGAAATTGGAGTTTCTGTCAAGAACAGGGGCTTTTGATCTCTCAGATTGGGTTGTGAATGGGTTTCGGGGAAATCACTGGAACTCTCCGAGTACATTGGCCCAGTTAATATTAAGAAATCTCAGATTAGTGGGCGTGGCCTGTTTGCTACAAAGAACATTGACAGTGGGACTTTGTTGTTGGTCACCAAAGCAATTGCCATTGAAAGGGGTATATTGCCCCAATCTGAAAATGAAAATTCAAGCCAAAATTCCCAACTAGTTATGTGGAAGAATTTCATTGAGAAGGTTCTTCAATCAGCCTCGAAATGCCACCAAATCCATCGTTCAATATCTATGTTATCGCCCGGCGAAGATGAGGATGGCCTTCAGGTCCCTGATATGAGTCTGTTCAGCCCTGAATCAGATGAAATTAGCTTTTCAAATGAGAGTCTTGATATGAGCAAAATGCTAAGTATTTTGGATGCTAATTCTCTAGTTGAAGATTCAAATTCAGCTAAAGTTTTGGGTAAAAACAGAGGTTATTATGGTGTTGGCCTATGGGTACTCGCTTCCTTCATCAACCATTCTTGTGATCCAAATGCCAGGAGGTTGCACATTGGTGATCATGTTCTAGTTCATGCATCTAGGGATATTAAGGCAGGTGAAGAGATCACATTTCCATATTTTGATGTGCTTTTGCAATTGAGCAATCGAAAAGAAATGGCAACAAATTGGGGGTTTAGATGCAACTGTAAAAGGTGCAATTTTGAGGAGAACATGTGTTCAAAACAAGAGATGAGAGAGATTGAAGTGGGCTCCGAAAGAGGATTTGACGTGGGTGGTGTAGTTTATAGGTTGGAGGAAGGTATGAGGAGATGGATGGTGAGGGGAAAGGGAAAAGGCTACTTGAGAGCATCGTTTTGGGCACCATATTCGAAAATTTTTGAGTCACAGAATCTAATGAAGAGGTGGGGCAGGCGGATTCCGGCGATGGAGGCGGTGGTGGAGAGTGTCGTGGATGCAGTAGGGAGTGACGAGAGGGTTTTAAAGGTGTTGATGGAAGGCTTAAAAAGAAGTGGTGGTGGTGGGGTGGGGGATATGGAGAGAGCAATGAAGTTGGGAAGAGGGGTGTATGGGAAGGTAATGAAAAAACAGGCATTGAGGACTCTGCTTGAGCAGTGTAATCAAGAGCAAAGCTAAAGCTCTATTGCCTTGTAGCTTTTTGTAGTTCTTTGATTTTAGTTTTCAGTTTCCAGCAGAAGTGGTGGTGGTGGTGGTGGAAATGGAGAGAGAGACAGAAAGAGCATGAGGACTCTGCTTGAGCACTGAGGATATTCAAGAGCAAAGCTAAAGCTATTAGCTTATAGCTTCTTGTAGTTCTTAGATTTTAAATTTCACTTTTAAGTGTCCGAGTTTAAGAGTTAGCCACGGCTTGTTTAGGAATTCTTTATCACTCATGCTAGACATTTTCATTCTCGAATAAAGCATATATGTCGTTGAATTAGCAGTAAATCTTTACGTTTGGATGCATCTTTCATCATTCGATCGCACCGGTACATCAAATTTGGTACCTTAGGGAATCGTTAAAAATGGGAATGCAGCACTTTGTGTATGATTGTTAAGGCAAATGCAGGAAATGGCAGGGAAAGAGAGAATATCTTTACGTTTGGATGCATCTTTCATCATTCGATCGCACCGGCACATCAAATTTGGTACCTTAGGGAATCGTTAAAAATGGGAATGCAGCACTTTGTGTATCAATTGTTAAAGCAAATGCAGGAAATGGCAGGGAAAGAGAGAAGGAGTCCTTAATTTCAATGTCACACGAGAGTAGTAGTAGTAAAGTTGTTCTTTCATATAGAGTTCAACCCAGCCCTTAAAGCCCAATTATTTGGTACCAAGTTGTGTATAGCCCATGTACCTACTAAATCTAACAAGATACTTGAGTAACTTTAGGGGTTATATGATTTCGAATTTATTTTTTGAAAATGTCAACTCTATGGAAAATTCAAGGAAATCTAACTGATAAATTCTTTTTGATTGTTGACGATGTGTAAATTCGAAACGTAAGATATACGCTTGAACTGAAGAACTCAAAGCTTAGAATTAGCAATATGTGAATAAACTGTACAGAAAAAATCAATATAAGGTCGAGCTTGAGGGTTCTGTAAGATGCAACAATAAACGTATGATAGATGTACAAACTTTAGAATGAGCACGAACATACAGATTATAGTGGTTCACAAGTTGAGGAGGTTGACTAATTTACTCTAATGGAGTCTCTTACTCCTTGAAAGGTTTTCTATTACTTGGAGAAGAAGATGAGATTACAATTATAGATATTACACTTGGATGTTTGTTATGAGGGAATGTCTCTTGTATTTATACTCACAGGTGGGGTAGTCCTCACGTTCCGTAAGTTTGTTAGAATGTTGTTGAGGGAATATTGGACCGTTAGAGACTACATTTTCTAGTGACTCATATCTAAGAAAGATCATGTTGAGGGGTTGTTCTGCTTGAAATGATCTCTTATGCTTTTAGTCAGCACATGAATAAAGAAACTCGATCCAAACACATAACCTGAGCTAGAAATAATAATTCTCCTCATGATATAATATGGAAGATTTGGATACTTGTATCTTATGTCATACTTAGACGACCTTGATACTTCTTCCTGAGGCTGGATGCACAACTGGAGGTTAGGAAACAAACTTTGTCCATTGGTTTTTTCCTGGAACCATCCTTCTTATTCTTATACGATACCAAAATTTATAATTTTTATGATTAAAAAAAAAAAGAAAAATCCTAACACATTTTAGAATCTATCTTAAACCCCCTCAAAAAATTGTAAAAAATTATAAAATTTTGTATAAACACCCTAAAAAATTATATATCGCGATAGAGTACCAAAATTTTCCTTTTATCCTCCAAATATTGAATACCACCTTCATGTAGATGGAGACTGGTTGTGTATAGACATCCATTAGGTCTCAAAAATAACCAGGGATCGATCAATAATGCGACAAGATGAAAAACCAATCCCTTCATGAAGAGTCAGTCTTTTGCTTGACTTGCTTCTTTCATTTTCAGTGGTCACAGATTTAATAAAAAAGAATAACCTTATAATGCATTAGTGATTGATTGCTTCACGGAACAAAAAGATTTCCTATTTGAGCAAAAAATGGCTTATCAAAATAATAATTTTTTTTTCTTACAAAGTAGCATCCAAAACCATGGAACAAAACAGAGGAGGTATTTTATTGGTAAGAATAGTTCTTCATTCCATTATCTGTGCTGTGGTTCTAAATGGAAGAACAACCTTTGCCTTATCCTTAGACCGCTTTAGAGGTGATGGTTGGATTAAAACAACTAAAAGAATTATTAAAATGAGTTCAAATGAAAACAAAAAATCGGTTGATAAAAACACCCATACTTTAGCACCCCATCTACAAATAATTCTTGATGCGAAAACACCGAGGCGAAGGAGAATTATTTGATCTTAATGGAGATCTTCAAGGTAGATATCATACAAATCATTTCTACACTAATAAAATCTTATGTTTTTATTTTCTTGATTGCATTTGGTTCATCATTAATATTCGGCCAAAATTCTTATTTGACTCTACACCGTTGATTCCGCAAATTTTGTTTTTAAGGTTCAACATGAAGGGTTGTCTAAATTAGTTAACGTGCACCTCGATTAATCTCATTTTTATTTGGTCAAATACAGATCATTTACGTTGAAATTAAGAATATTCATATAAAAGATAAATTTTTAAATCTCTAATGAATATTTAAATTTAAAACGTTTAAATTTATAATTTATGATTGTTAGCGATTGAGTTATCTTTTATATTGATTCCACATACGAATGACCTGTAATAGAGCTAATCCACTGAGGTAGTGGGCAAACGATGTCGAATCAGATTCCAAAGATAATTAAGAAATTTCTTGATCCAATCATTGTATAGCTAGAGTGGGCTCAGTAAATGGCCAGTCAAAACGACAACATCTTAATTAGCATTATTGTCAATCAAATGACGCAATTGAAAAGACTTAAATCTCTCACAAACAAGTCTCATATGTAAAAAAATTTTAAACGGTCAATATTTTTTGAGTCAATTTATATATATTTTAATTAATTAATTTTTTTAATTTAGTCAAAAATAAATCATTAATGTCAAAACTATAAAATTCACAGGGGATAAATTCTCTGACTCAAAATATTATTAAAATTCAAATTTAGCACATCTTCCCATATAATTTGAAGGCGCAAATTATAATGTTAGAACAATTTCGTCAAAATTACCTCCTTAATCGGAACACGAGATGTTTCACCGAATACCAAATTTGAAATTATAGAAAAATTTGGGAACTATGATTTAATTGAAAAAATGAGTAAAAGATTAAGAATTTTATTGTTTTAATTGATATTTTGGAGACTAAGTAAAAATTAGGGGTATAAAATATAATTTTTACTTTTTCATTTTTTTTTGTAAAACTACACTAAAACTCTCTAAAATTTATTATTTAATTACTCAGACATCAGATATTTGAAATATTATACATAGACTCCTAAAATTTGTACACACATAATACTTAAACCCCTGTTATAAATATATACGTTAATAAACTATATTCAGATCCGTTGAAGTTATAAACATATATTTTTTGGATCATTTAAGTTCAAAATATTTTAAAAAATTTATGTATAATATTTTAAATATAAAAGAATTTAAATAATTAAATAATAAAGTCTAAGAGGTTGGAGAGTAATTCGCCCTTGTTTTTTTCGTATCTGTTGGGGACAGCGGGAAGCCAGGTTTCGCATAATGATTGGCTGTTTGGTAGCAGCACTTTACGGGCGAATTTTTAGCGGCGTTGAAAAAAGTGGCGCTGTGGGCCCCAATTTTTGGCCACTTCTTAGGAGCAGCCAAATGCGATCTCCACGGAGTTTGATTCCAATTTAAAATTATTTTTTAATAGATTACTTATCATATAATCAAGTGGACATGATTATATATAAATAGATTTTTTACTTATTAATAATAGATAACTTGTCAAAAAATTTAAAGAGAAAATATATTATATGAAAGGGTCATACGTTTGAATGAGATTTTTGAGAATTAAGAAAATTTTAATAAAGAAGAGAACCCATGACCTTTATTTTACTTGTGATAAAATAAAAAGGTACGATAGAAAGACTATAAGAAATTGAGTTTACTCTCATGCTAATTTGACTTATTTATCGTAGTATGATACGAATCTACCCTATAACCAGCTTGATAAATAGATTGTATCAAATTAGGTGAATTCTAATGGTTAAACGGATTATATAAACACTATTTTGTGTTGAAAATATATTAAAAATATATACATTATTAAGAATTGTAAGGGTGGTTGCTTCCCCCACACGGGTGAATCTCTCCCCCCCTCCCCTGCACCGGCCCAATAGCAAAATAAATTTTTGGTGGTTCCTCACGGCCTTTCTGTGCATACAAGCCTTTTTTATCCTCTCCAACCCTATCAAACTTCCTCACCCTCATGGTGAGCCTAACATCCAATGAAGCACCTTACCTTGAAATGGCTTCCTCCTCCTCCTCCTCCTTTTCTAGAGAACCACCACTCCCTTTTTGTTGGGAGGAGAGAGGGGACAATTGAACACGTCCTACAGTTCATGAGCACAATGTGTGATTTATTATTTTTAATGTGAAAGGTAAATAAACTTGAAATGATGGAAATAATAAAGATGGGCTTAGGCCACCTACCAAAGTCACAATTTTGCATGTGCGAACTACTTTAGTCTTTACCTACAAAATACGACTACTAATAGTTATGGTCTGGACTCTCAAAGTCATAAATCTTTTTGAGCATTAAAATAGATGACATCTTTTTCTAAAAGGTTGAAATCCATTTTCAATTCATGCTAGATATTAATACATTATTGGTTTTTTCAGTCGTAATATTAGAATTGAGTGATCACTAACCAGGATTCATTCTCGTTATTCGTCCATTTAACAAAGTCGTTGAACTCCAAAAAGAAAATGATTCAATCTCTTGAGTCTTCACCATTTGATTCTCATTTTATAATTAATAATGATTGGTTTGAGTCTGAACTCCTTTAGAGTCTAAGACCTTCTGAACTTATAGAAAGCAACTCAAGTAGCTTGCCCCAACGAACTCTTCTGAGTATGAACTAGGCCACAAATTGCTTGTAGGGAAGTTCAATGTAACAAGTCCGGCACGATAACAAACTTGAAACTCAGGAGCTCACATGGACAGGGGATAAGGAAACATTACTTGATGACTCTGATGAACAAAATTCTATAGGTAGTAGAGACGGACCAAGAATTACAGTTGGTGAGTAGTGAATTCAGAAAAGTTTTGGGGACCACAACACCAGGATAAGGATAAACACAAAAAGGACCATAAAATCATCCAAAAAGGATAAACACGAAACCCTAACTACTAATTGTATAAATAGTCAACAAGATTACAG